CCTAACCCTAACCCTAACCCTAACCCTAACCCTAACCCTAACCCTAACCCTAACCCTAACCCTAACCCTAACCCTAACCCTAACCCTAACCCTAACCCCTAGACCATTCGGTTGGGTGGTCTCATTTTTTAGTCATATTCAAACGATGTATCATCAGCATGTGCACATAGATATTTATTATAGTTTAATTGATGTTATTGTAGGGTACGACTACTAGCCGATTACTCGAAATTTGAATTTGAATAGAATTCCCCTGACAATTCCCGTACACGACGATACAACCGTTTCTTGGACCTTTAATTAAGCTACTGGCTGCTGGAGACGGATAATTATCCTTTCCAATGCATTGCTAACTAACCTGTGGTATATTTATTATTCTAAGTTCATTGTGGCTTGATTGTGTCTTGTTTCTTTGACGGGCATTAGGTTACTGGCTTCTGGAAGACGGATACTTTTAATAAAGTCATTGTTACTACATTGCGTCCTGTATCTTGGATCTTTAGGTTATTGGCTTCTGGCAGACGAATGGCCTTTCTTGATTGCAATTTGTATTTATCCACTTTCCATTTTTTTTCATGGCAACACAGGTCAATTTACTTTTTGATGCCTTGTTGGGTTTATAGATGGGCAATGGCACGTACTGACCAATTGGCGAACCGTCTGACCAAGCAAACTTCTTGTCACTTGTGTCATCACTCAAACCAATCCAGGGACCATATTCACTCCATTCTGGAAACAAGTCAACCAGGAATAAAATTGAATCACAGAGAAACATATTTTACAATAACAAAATTTTAAACGATGAACTATAGCCACAGCCACAGCCACAGCCACAGCCACAGCCACAGCCACAGCCACAGCCACAGCCACGCCGAAGTGTTGCATTTATGATTTCCATCCCCTTTTCGCTGATTTTCTTTCCTATTTTTAATGTTCCGCTTCATTTCTACATGCTTCACACATCGTTCTCATATACAGCTTAAAAGTGTGACGTCATCAGTGGTATTGGAACAAAACGACTTCCGGTTCCAAAATGAAAAGCAGTTCTATAAAATGAGAGGATGTGTGTCACAGACTTCTAATCTTTTCAGGAGGAGGTTAAATAACTTTGAGAATATTTATTTCGCTTTATTTTAGAGGAATCGGTAAGCAGCTGGAACGGGAAATACGTCACAACATAAAAGCTCTATATAGCGCAGCGCAGCCGTTACGTCATCAAAACGAAGACAAAGGCGAAATTCGGACAAACAAACTTACAAGTTTACTTTCAGCAGATAATTTTCACAGCCGATCGCAGTCGCTGCGCTATTCTTCGATTGCACTTTACGTCATGGCGGCCATGTTGGTGCCATTTGACAAACGATTTCACATTAGCATCCATTGTTAACGGCACCACAATGGCCGCAATGTTTTTGACTCGCTCAATTGAAACGAAAAGATATCTTAGGTTTAGGTTAGTCTCAGTAGAACAGAATCACAGAATCCAAATTACAAAGTGTACAGAATTTTGCAGCTCGTTTGGTTACTAATACTAGGAAATTTGATCATATATCACCAGTTTTGAAAGAGCTTAATTGGATGAATGTGTCTAGTATGTTAAGGTTAAGAGATGCTATAATGTCATTTAAATGTGTGAAAGGTATTAGCTCCACCTTATCTTTCTAATAGGTTTAAATTAAGATCTCAGGTACATGATAGTAACACTAGGAATAAGAATATGTTGCAGATACCTAAGTGTCGTACTGCTGTTGGTTATCGTAGTTTTATATATAGAGCAGTGACTTTGTGGAACGAGTTGCCAGATTTACTCAAATCTATTGAGTCTTTAAATTGTTTTTTTAAGACATCATATAAGAGTTTCCTTATATTAAATGATTTCCGTATATTCTTTAGGATATTCTAGAGTACAAACACTAAAAGTGTGCAACACTTTGCACTATTTAGTAGTAAATAGTGCTTATTAAACAATAGAAAACAATAGGATTAGCATAATTTAGCAGTATTTAGTGGTATTTATGTTACACACTTATAGTGTTTGTACTCTATTGGAATTATCACTATGTTTTTAGAATCTTAATTGTAAATGTAGCATTTTTAGATATTATTCCTGAGATATCATTCCTGAGTATTATTATTATTAATCACTTACTCATGATAATTTTGATCTCGTCAGTGCTCAGTTCCCTGTTAAACACCATGAGATGTCTCATCAAGCCGTTGAAGGGGTTTTCATTGGTTGAAGACACAGCTTTCTTTGCTCCTATCTTATAATGTGCACGCGGGGAAATCTTAGTCGTAGCACTTGCCTTGAATGAATTGGGCGTCAATGTGGTGCTCACAGTCTTCCCATCAAGATATATTTTACCTTTGACTTTTGTTCTGTTAAAGGTTATGGCGATATGCTCCCATTTAGACCTAGGAATCTTTCCGCTAAAAAGTATAACAGTGTAGCAAAGAATTATTAATACGAATTTAGTGAATGCTTAATTTAATTTGGTAAAAATTATCATTAAATCTAATAATTATTAATTTCATAATTGATTAAATTTGTGTAGATTAGTCATTTGTTCACACCACACCACACCGCATCGCACCGCACCGCATCGCACCGCACCGCACCGCACCGCACACAGAAGGAGACAAGTCCTAATTTTAGCCTTACCATTAGCACAGGCCACCCGGCTTTTTGAGTTTGGTTAGTTTGAAATACCTTTGCTAATATTATGGGTTTCCTGTGGTTTTAGATCGGTTGCTGTAATCTGTAATCAGAGCCGGCCCGGTTGTACGAATCCTGGATAGCGCTATCCAACGGATAAATCTTACCCAGTGCATAAATTTATTTGATAACAGCATCGACTTATCCACTGGATAAGGATTTATCCTGAATAGTGCATTCCAAGACCAAAGGGCATTGTGGGTTTCGTTAATTTGAAATAAAAAGTAAATATACAGCAATCAACTCTCTACATGTAGTTAGTATATTGTTTCAGATGGAATACACTAAAAATAGATTAAATAATTATTATTAATCCTACTTTAGACGTCACTATGACACACAATGCACTTTGGTCTTGGAATTCACTATTCAGTATGCAGTATTCAGTATTCAACCTTCTTTGAAATAGCTGTATATAAAGTTCCGAAAGCCGGGTTACCTGTGCCATTAAGGATCACTCTATCTACTTAAGAATGGGGCTACCTACCTCCCTGATTTTATAGTCGCGTAATTAGTCTGTTGTGGCGTAAAATGCCAAGAGACCAGTTGTTCTTCCTGTAGCTTCCATTTTATTTGAAATGTTTTGTCATTAGCGGGGACATCACCAAAAATGGTGTTTTCCCAATCTCCTGGAGATGGGCCAATTTTAACCCAAAACGCTATCGTGAATCCCTCGGGATTGAACGGGACTGCTGGTACTTTAGCAAAGGACATTTGTGGTACGGAAAGAGCTGTTTCACCTTCGGAGTTTTTATAGCTTGCATCGATTAAAAGTCTGTTAAAGAGAGAAAATATTGTGTACATGTTAGTTTCAGGTAGAGTCCAAAAAAAAGTAGCTTTCTTGGCGGTAAAACCCTCGGAGGTCGGAGAAAACATTTTCCATCATTAGCGTTCAGATGTAGTTATAAATCAATCTAGCCGGGCTACTCAGCTGTCAATCAAAAGTGCATGATGATGATGATGATGATTATAATGATCATCATCTACAAAGCTTTTCGCTGCTTTTCACAGCGTGGGACAATCACAACAGAGCAGGGCTCCAAACTAGGTGAAAGCCCAAAGATCGAATTAGAATTTAGTAGTTGATTTTTGAGGAGGGAGGAAAACCGGAGAACCCGAAGCCCTCGAAACACAGGAGAGGACCAACAAACAACTCTACTCACATACACCTCTACTCACATACAACCCGAACTCGGGGCGCATTGGTGAGAGGCGGCGCATTTAGCAGCGCACGCCACCGGTGCTTCCCGTGCCAAGTATATGGGCTACAAAATATCATAACAGACCTTTTCGGCTTGTGTGTGATGTTTCTCATTTCATTTTCATTCCCATAAGAATAAGATTCTTTGTTTAACGGTTGTGTACACACGAGAAGACATGTGGAAATCATAAAACTGAAACAAAGAATTTTATCCTCAAGAGGATAACGCGTGGTCTGAAATGGGAAAACGTTACGCCCAGGCCGCAAAGTTCTATTCTCTTATGAGTTTGATAAAAAAAAAAGAGACGCCATGACCGATATGAATCTGTGGATGTATGACGGTCGAGTTCAAATGAAAATGGACACAAAACTTGAAGAAATTCGCAACTGATTCTAACTCATGAGTAATTTCAAAGACCAAAATATACCCCACCGCTGCCCGTCACTTACAAGACATCGTCATCATGTCCATCCAGTGCCTTGTAATAATCAGCTGGCTGAGAAGCACCACTGCCTAAAATTGATGATGAAAACTATTAGTACAAAGCATTGAAGAAATAGAAAACGCGCGCGCGTGTGCAGCACGCGGGAGTTGGCAGAACACGAGAGAAGTGTTATGAGAAGCACGACGCGTAGCAGCCAATCCCCAGTTGCTTTATAACTTCACACAGCACAGCAAGCAAGTTTTTTTTCTTTTCATATGAAATAGAAATTACAATAACTGCTATTTTGAATGGGAATGAAGCAACTGGAAATGCGCGGGTACGCGTGCTGTGCGCTTTAATGAAGCACACGCTCCTAACCAATCAGAACGCGAGATTCATAGCAGTTGCTATGTTGCTGATTATCTTGGAATCCTTTCATACTTACTCTTATTACTGGTCACAGCGTTTAACACTTCCTTCACCAAGACGTTATAAATAAAGCTATCTTTGTAGGAACTTTTGATGGAAACGAGTTCAGCTCCAAGTGACTTGCAGTATGCACTTGCAGCGGCCCAGTTTTTATTTTCAGTGAAAAGTTTAAGAGAGAATAAACCTAATCCAAACCATCCGTCTGATAAAACTAGAGAATCGAAAGAAAAGCTCAGTTTAGAAGTGTATTCAGTTTAGTGGGAAATAGTCTGTCAGACGGTCATATTATTTTAACAAACCTTGTTTTCTTGCGCATTCATACAGACTGCAGTACTTGGATTCTACATCCTGTGAAAGGAAAATCATCTTCTAAATATGCTATCTAATCATACATATTAAATTGGCGTTTTTTTATTTTTTCTATTTTATTATTTAAGCGCATTAGATCATATATTTTTATGAATTTTTGCGCTATATAAGTAATGAAATTATTATTTTTATTATTATTTTCGTTACACGACACTAATATTAATAATTTATTTGGTGATGTGTTGCAGATACAGAACGTTAACCGATGATCTTAGGAGTTCTATTTAATAGTCAGTACACGATAGTGCAGTTTTCGTATGACTGCGAAAGGTTCACGGCACGCCAGACAAAATCGCACTGCACGAGAATTTACTCTCCATTCAATCAGATACCCGGAACACGGCATAAACACGGCGCGGACACGGTCACGCCAAGATAACGGCACTTTTAGACCAATTATATTGCGCGTGGAAAAAAATCAGCCAATTAAAATTCTAGAAAGTATCACGTTCAAGGCACGTCACGCTTACGGCACTGAGCTTTTCACAGTCAAACGAAAACTGCACTATACCATCATACTCACCACCATGTCGTGGTAATCAGATCCTGGTCTAGATACCAGGTCTTCGGGACTCGCTTGTTTGGTCGAATTGTTCAGCTCACATTCAAAAATGATACCAAAAACTTGGCGAACATTGATGGAATAACACTCAGGCAGCCCGACACATTCAGACCAGCACACTTCAACCAATCCTCTGGAAATTGTCTTGATCGTGTGATTGACTAGAGCCAGACCCTCCTGTTTGGCAAACTTGTATATTACACAAGATTCTGTGAGGGACTGGTACGAGGAGAGAGTCAAAAACACGATGAAGGCGCAAAAGATATGTCTACGAATCATCTTGTGATCTCTGAAATGAAATTTGACGTTGAAGAAAAGTTTAGTCTTTAGAGAGTTAGCATAAGGAATGCCCTGCCAGTCATTCTTGGAATAAGCTGTTTCACAGTCAAGAAGTAGGAGATGGGTGCTCCTATTAATGGGGTTCTGATCTGGGAATATGCTGGCTTACAGACCCAGTAAGGGAGATGGATGCTCCTAGTAATGGGCTCCTGATCTGGGAATATGCTGGCTCACAGACCAGTATGGGAGATGGGTGCTCCTAGTAATGTGCTCCTGATCTGGGAATATGCTGGCTTACAGACCCAGTATGGGAGATGGGTGATCCTAGTAATGGGTTTCTGATCTTATGCACAATCACAAATGTATTGTCGGAGATTGACTCAGGACTGTGACGAGTTTTATAATATATCAATTTAGGCACTGCCTAAAAGCGGAGCTCCCAATAGAGGGATCTACTTGATGGGTTACCAATTTTTCTCAAGCATGGTGCTCCGCTCGCCGCTATCATTCAGCTATACATCGATATTTCAGCTGCAATCTTTTCAATTCAATTTGACAATAAGAAAATAGGATACCAAAGGCTACAGATTTCTTAGTTACACAACAAAGACTTATAGTGATAGACTCAATCAGTGTAATCAATTATTCATACCGCTGTCCGGGAAGCTTTTGATATCACTTTGTTTCCTTTGTTATTCAAATAACGGCGACAAGTAAAGTAGGCTGATAACACTAACCGTGAGTCAGCAGCCGGCCTTGCATCTCCGCCTAGTAGAGTAAGGCCCCGTCCACACGTATCCGGAAATTTTTGTACGAAACTGTTTGCGTCCACACGCATCGTATTCGAATCGTTTTCACCGTCCACACGTATCCGTTTTTGTAAAATTTGCGGATACGGACACAAAAATTTGCGGACACGTGTGGACGCAACCCGTATCCGTAAAAAAAAAATTGCGGATACGTGTGGACGGGGCCTAAGAACACGCCACAGGAAGTCTATTATACTGCTTATAATTCTCTCAATATGCTAAATTTTCAACTTTTAATTCTCCCAAAAAACCCAAATGTTTTGCCAAATAATACTTCATAAAGATTAGAGCTTTACTGCAAGTTTGCAATCAATTATGATTAGCTCTTAAGCTGGAAATAAAACTCTTGATGAGTTGCAGAGATTTGAGTTGTCGGTACCTTATTTAATTTTTAATTTTTTCGCTTTTTTTAAACGAGAGAATCGAAAGGGAGAAAATTTGAGAAATGTTGAACAGGTTTCTTGATCTTTCTCCATAATACTCTGAGTCGGTACAGAAGAAAAATGTACAGATCAAATAAATTAAGATCTATTATATTTGTATTGGTATTTTCTGATTTAGCTCCCAAATGCATGCGATAAATAATTGATGTATAAAGATTTCTACTAACTTTGCGGGTTAACTATGCCAATTCACTAATTCTAAGGAAGTAGATAAATTTCATCTTTTAGTATTACTGAGATGAGAGTGCTTTGTGATCTTTTTCAATATATGAAAGCAAGATAAAAAGATATCGGATTTGTCCTGGCATTTAAACAGATTGGGCCTTTGAACGTGGTTCCAACGGAGATCGAAGAAAGGAGATGTATTTGTGGCTGATCAATAAAACCCGGACTGGAGGACATAAAGTAAAACCCTTGAATCTCAGCTATTCAAAGCAAAAAAGGAACGACTTTTTACCATGCAAAGCAAGTCTGGTAATGAATGGCTTCCGGGTTATACTTTCAGTTGCTTTTCTTGCCCTCCACGCCTCAAAGGTTCAAAGGTAAATTCATACTAAAATATAGAACTAACGAATAACCAGAAAGTAGCTCTACTTACTTTCATTTCAAAAAAACCGCTTTCTCGAACTTTCTCGCTCACAGAAAGTTTTTCAAAGCTAAGGCTGATCGAATTAGGAATGACTTCTATCAACTTCTTTAAAAAAACTTGCATTGCCTCGCGAGATAGCCGACTGATATCCAGAAAGTCAGCTATACCCAATTTTTCTCGGAAACTTTTGTCTCACCCAGAACGTGAGACAAGTTGAAACTAGTGCGTGCTAATCAAACGTACATTCTTTATTACTTCATCCCTTTACAGGGCTTTTCAGAAGCATTGACAAATAAAAATTCCAATATGATATAAAAGTTAAATATAAATGCAAATATAAGTATAAATCTAAGATAAATGTAAGTATAAACGTGCATCGCGACCGAAACAAGTCCCAGGCTAGTCCATTTGCATGATTAAAGTATCTCCAAACTGACTCGTTTTATTATACATATTCGGTAGTCGGAATTCTTAGCTAATAGACTCAAGGCCAAATTAAATGAATAAATACAAAGGAACTTGCATACTTTATCAACTGAATAAAAACTATTTAAAAGAACTAGCCAGGCTTACTTACCTTATGTTGGAAGTTACTTGCTCGGTTCCTCGTCAAAACCCTTTAGAAGTAGGTTATCCTGTGACATAACGTAATGACTAGTTATCGCTAGCCCGTCTTACTCGTTGCCCTGGTGTTTTGTACTACCTGTTAAGTCAATTATAGGTTCACTCGGCCAGCAGCGGGTAGCTTTGCCGTTTTGTAAAATGTCCGATGAAACGAAAGCGAAAAGACCTTTTGTTTTGAACTCGGAAAGTGGATGTGAGCGGTTCGCGATATCCCGGGTTTCACAGTATGCAGAATCACGTAAGAATAAAAGGCTATTCTTCGATTGCACGTTTCGTCGTCGCGACCATGTTGGTGCCATTAAATAAAAGATTTCTTGCTTGCACCTATTGTTAAAAGCACTGTGGAATATTCTTCACTCCTCTGAAGACTGTTTTCTGCAAGGAATATTCTAGCAAAACCTCATTGCAGAAACGCTGAGATGGATAATCTAAAAATGGACTAATATTTGGATATAAATAATAAAATGAAATAAGTGTCATAGGAAATTTTTACGGAAGCTTCTAGGGGACATGCGAGATGCGAGTTGTTTAATGCGAGATGCGAGTTGTTTAATGCGAGATGCGAGTTGTTTAATGCGAGATGCGAGTTGTTTAAAATGCGACATGCGAGTTGATTAAAATGCGAGATGCGAGTTGTTTAAAATACGAGATGCGAGTTGTTTAAAATACGAGATGCGAGTTGTTTAAAATGCGACATGCGAGTTGATTAAAATGCGAGATGCGAGTTGATTAAAATGCGAGATGCGAGTTGTTTAAAATGCGAGATGCGAGTTGTTTAAAATGCGAGATGCGAGTTGATTAAAATGCGAGATGCGAGTTGTTTAAAATACGAGATGCGAGTTGTTTAAAATGCGAGATGCGAGTTGTTTAAAATGCGAGATGCGAGTTGTTTAAAATACGAGATGCGAGTTGTTTAAAATACGAGATGCGAGTTGTTTAAAATGCGAGATGCGAGTTGATTAAAATGCGAGATGCGAGTTGATTAAAATACGAGATGCGAGTTGACTAAAATGCGAGATGCGAGTTGTTTAAAATGCGAGATGCGAGTTGATGAAAATGCGACATGCGAGTTGATTGAAATGCTACATGCGATCGAGTTGCTGATTCCATTGCGAATGACGTCATTTCTTCCTAATGTCCGAGTCTGAGTAAAGTAAGTATTCCCTAGTTTCCTTTCGTTTTATTTTAATATGTTCAAATATACAGAGCTTTTTTTACATTTTATTACGGGCTGAATTCCTTGCACTTTGTTTTGAGGACTTACTTAGAAGCTATTAGATGTAACCAGTATCTAGTGAATGCAGGACGATGTCCAGGACCGAGATTATTACGATTATTAAGACTTACTTTCAACTCGCATGTCGCATTTTAATCAACTCGCATCTCGCATTTTACACAACTCGCATCTCGCATGTCCCCTAGAAGCTTCCGTACAACTCCCTTGAGATATAAATAACAATGAAACAACCATCATGTTGGTTGATCTAACGAGAGAAGCTATAAACCAAATTCAAAACTCGCACCGATGTGAGGCTTAAATTGTGAACAAAGAAATCTGGCGTGATTCGTGACTTTTGAATCACGCCAGATTACTTTGAGTCACGCCAGATCCTTTTGTTCACAACTTAAGCCTCCTCAACCATTTTCCATACATTGATTCACTGGTCAAACACAAAGCGCTCAAGCGAGGCGCCAAGGTACTTTCAAAGGATTATTCTAAGAACCCTGCAACCTCGACTGAGTGCTTTGTGTTTGACCAGCGAACCGATGTATGGAAAATAGTGAATATGGCGGCTTAGTCTTAAAATGCAGCAGTCATCAAAATAAAGTACTTGCAGACATTAGTTTGTGTCACGTGATAAGCTAGGTCCACCCTCTGTTAATCATTTAGTAACATAGGGGCATTGATTGACATCTGGCATATTCTAAATGATATAGGACTTTACACGGGAACCCTATAGCAGATGCCCGCAAAGGCCTATTGGGTGTACTTTAGACGTAATTCGTCTTGGTCCAATGTTATCTCATTTCAGTCCACGTTTCATTCTCTTGAGAATAAGATTATAATAGTTGCCGGAGTATCTATATTCATATGCCTTCTCATGCGCAACCGTTAAACAAACAATCGAAACTCTTATAAGGAGTGACACTTGGTATGTAATGGGAAAACATTGCATTAGCTAATCGAATTAGGTCTATTTACGCAATCTTTCTATTTCGTAGCAGCCCCGGGGAGGAATAAAAAAAACCCGCAATTTACGACTTGTCTATCAAAGGTAGCCCAGTAAATATAGGTATTTTTTGGTTCACCTACTTTTCCACGATCTGCCTTTATGTAATTTTCAAAGCGGAACTGAAGCTGGACATTGCAGCTTGTTTACATAGAACTAACCTCTAACCTCCCTTTATTTATTTAGTTTTTGCTTTCGCTCTTATTATTTTATTGTATGTTACTGATTATTTGCGTCCTGAATAAACTACTATTGTCTTGTATTGGTAACAGCGTCTTACTTGTTATTTTACTCCGACGAAGGGCTAGCGTCCGAAACGTCAGTAAGTTTTTTCATCTTTTCACGGTGTATAATTTACCTTTTCATCATTACTGTTTCATTAGAAACACCAACGCAGCTCACACCAGTTTTTAGCTAGTTATCTCTTCTGTTTTAATAAAGGACAAACAATCATTCCACAAAAGGAAAAACTACTGAATTTTTTCCACTTTATTGCTTGTTATTTTTGTACAACTATTTTTCACGTATACATTGGAATCATTGGAACTACAAAATGCATGTCGTTGCTGATGAAACACGCGAGTTTTTTTTATTTTGATGGTTACGTCTTGATTGAAGAGACACATTCAGTTATCTATTCCTTAGATCTCTTTGCTTCTGAAACGAAAAAAAAAGAAGAAGAAGAAGAATAGTTAGAAAGCATTTAATATATTCAAGGAATGTTTTAGGAACACGAGACGTAGTCGAAAGCTTCTCTTGCTTTTCGAGTGCTCTACAGCTCCCAGAGTGTCAACACAGAAGAGAAGTAAGCAGCTTTTATCCCAAATATTTTATCCAGCCAATCAGCACGCGCGTTATATTTCAATTACAGTACAATTCCATTATTATGATCTTACAAACATAAATAAAAATCTAAACGAGTTGTGAAGGCGGAGTCGGTTCAGAAGGAGGAAAAACGAATAGTGTTATCTATATGCCGCACTATAGGTAGATGTGATATACAAATGTACTCGGAACCAACGCGGCATTTTTGAGGTCCACAAGAGATACGGTGTTGTGTATCAGGGATGCCATCTAATCGATCTTTATGCCAGAGGCCATTACTTTATTAGATTATTCTTAGATAAATTTGCTATATTATGGAAAATAGTTCTCTGGACGTTGATACATCGCACTTCCATGCAGATCATTCGTGCACATTTAAAACTATTTTTCCTGATTCTCCGGTTTTCTTTCCTCCGTAAAACCAAACACACTTAATCCCAGTTCGAGTTCGAGTTGAACATGCCCTGACTTTATACTTCAGCACAGAGGTTGTTTCAGGGTTCAATCTGTGAGTTAGCAGTACCCTGACTTACTTCAGTTTAGAGGTTGTTTCAGGGTTCAATCTGTGAGTTAGCCATGCCCTGACTTACTTCAGTTTAGAGGTTGTTTCAGGGTTTGATCTGTGAGTAAGCCATGCCCTGACTTAGATCAGCCCAGAGGTTGTTTCAGGGTTTGATCTGTGAGTTAGCCATGCCCTGATTTAGCCCAGAGGTATGAATCAGGGTTCAGTAAGAATATGAAGTTTAAAATGCACAAAAACAAAAAGAAAACTCAAGAATGGCTTTGCTTTTGGCGCGAAAATGAGAACGCGCGTGCTCGGTCGATTGGGCCTTCTTTCTAAAACTATTTGGATCATATATGTAATAAAAAATATCGAGTTATGGATAATTCCTTAAAAAATTGGAATAGAAATGCTGTTGTTGTTTTGAATTATTTTCGTCGCGGCACTTTGCCTAGCATATGACCGGTTGTAGTGTCGCTATATCAGAGGTTGAAATGTAAATAAATAAATATCCCCTTCGATGGAAGTGCGTAATATTGAGATAAATCTCTGATATCATTTGAGTTTTCTGCTCTGTTAGGGAGGGAGGGGAAAGCCCCGACTCTTAAACCACGGACGAAGATGATCTGATATTTCGACTTGTTCATTACCGCTCACTAACGAGAGAAAAACACTGAGTACTTTCAAACAGAACCTAACATGAGTGATTAAATATACAATTTCTTTCCTACCTCGTCTAGCCTTGGCCATATTCGCTTCATCGTATTGGTATTCTTCATAGGGTGGATAGCCCAACTCTGCCCGTTTTCTCGCCATGATTTCATCTCGTCCGTTCCTAAGGAAGGCGTCACTACACTGGAAAACGACTCCACACAGCACGAATATGGCGAGAAGAACCACTAATGCTTTGCTTGATGCCATTATTTGATTTGGGTTGTGCACGAATTCTCTGAAAGAATCATTCATTTAAAAAAAACTATGTACAATACTTGATCACTTGATCGGGAAAAAGTAAGCCAGGTTCCCAAAAATACACGCTAAAATGTCGTGAAAATTATATTCCTTGGTTTAATAAGCCTGTTGTTAAATAGAAGCCTAATTTGACTGCATTCAAGGCATGTTTCTAAAAATACACGCTAAATGTCGCGAAAGTTCCATTCCTTGAAAGCCTGATGTTAAACAGAAGCCTAATTTGAACGCATTAACATTGCGCGACCACTTTATTCATACAACTAAAAAAAGGCGGGAAAAGCGCCTAAAACCTTAAAGACGTTGGAAACTTTTTAAGGAAAAATGATGCGAAAACTACGACTGGATTTTTTGTTCCTAAAGTCTGGTTTTTTATCATAAAAATAAATAGCTTGGTTTTATTTACGTATTTGTTAACCAGAGAGTGCCAAAATCATTGGCAATTTTTCAGTCGGGTATGACTAAAACTGACTAAAATTCAGTCTGCGTAAAATACACGTCTTGTCTAAAAATGGTTGGATGTGTTCTTATAAAAAGTGTGAAATTTTAAAAAGTTCTGAAATGTCTTGATAGTTACTCTCTGGTTTTACATTTCTTTATGATTGATTCAAAAATGCATGGGTAAGAAATGAAAAATCAAGAACAAAAAATAGCTAAAGAAAAAATGTACCTTTGAGGAGTCTTCTTAGGTCGTTCTTCTTCAGTGTGCAATAAGTACTAAAGGAATCTATTCCCACTTCTTTTATACTCTTTTGAAGCTTTCAAGGAAAAGAATTCCCTCGGATGTAAATGACGCGAAATGTGTCTACTTTAAGCGATAAAAGATAACTTGATAAGAAAGAAATAATGATGGGGTCATTGATGGGCATTTGCGCAGCTCTTTGCCGATAAACACATGCTGTATTTCCCACAAAAAATTCATGGATCATTTAACACACTAAATCTTCTTCTATAAACATAAGATTCTCTTGAATTTTTCAAGTAAACAAATCAAGAGCATGTTGTTGTTGTCAAGTATTGAGTGCTTTAGTTAAGTTTAAAATTACTCCATTCAAACGTTGAAAGAAGGTTCTAACATAAAAGATGTATTAAATAAATGAAAAATATTCGGAAAATTAGAAGAAAATCCTTCAGAATTTAAGCTTTAATCAGCTTTTCCTTTGAGGATGTGATTTCCCCTTTTGTGTTATTAAATTCATCACTTTGTTTTGACGGTTGACGACTCTCATCTAGCTTACTTACATTTTAATCTCGAGTTCATGAAGCTAAAAGATGTTTCCACTATCATCTACTTTGGCAGCCCTGTGGGGTTAAACTTGGCTGATATCGAAACTAAAAAACGCGTTTGGTCTCAGAAAACCTTGATATTTCTCGTTGTTCTGGGTAAAGGAGTGGCCGTGATTGTCGCGAGATTCCTCATTCAATATCTGAAAGTTCTTGCGATCGATTATAAAGTCCTTAATAGTATGAAAGTTCTTCTTTAACTCAAGTAATTTCCTGGCTTAGATATTGCAGATTTAAGTATATTTATTAATACAGAACTGAAATGACAGCAAAAGAAAAAATAGCGTGAGAAAAAAGAAAAAGAAGTGAAATCTCTTCTCAGTTACTGTCGCTTTTGTCAGTAAATATTATCTTCCCCATGGGAATTCCCTACTCAGACATTTCAAATATTGAGCTACAGATTTCTAAACCCATCGAACCAAGGAGTTTGATATATTGACTTACAGATAAATAAAATACTAAATCCATTTATGACTTGAAAACTCAGTCAGTGAACTATGAATTAGGTTGATGTATGTGGGGGATAATTCCATTGCATTGTATTTCACTTCATATCAGCTCTAATTTACGTTCGTTTAAACGACAGTTTTGTTACACACAAACGAATATTTTCAATTTCACGTGAGCTAAACTATGATAAGTGTCAGTGATTTATTTTCTGTTTTGCAGGCGAAGAACAAGCTAATGAATAAAGGGAGAGAGGTGGGTTGTTGTTCGTGTAATTTAGGAATACCACCTTAAGCTTCTGGATAACGCTACATGTAAAATATCTTGCCTGCAAAACCAAGCGAAAATAAAACTCTACTTCAAGTAAAAGAAATGACAATGAAACATCTTAAAATGGAATTTAGCTGTCAAAAGATTGTTGTGATAGTGGAGGGTAGTTCAATAGTCAGAGGTTGGTATATGTGACACTATGTACAAATAAATGATTATTTATTTACCTTTTTGTGTTCTAAAAGAAATAGAAAGGAAAGAAAGAAAGAAAGAAAGAAAGAAAGAAAGAAAGAAAGAAAGAAA